TTTCTTTCTCTTTTAACTCCAAACCTGGCAGAGATAGGTCCATAGTTACTATTGAACTTGAATAGGAAGTCATATACTGGCAATTTACTGTGACCTTGAAAATGACCTTTCACCTACCTTACGATGAACTTAAATTTGATTGTACCATTTTTAGTTTCATATATTTTTTGCATATATTGAAAATTCTTGTTGATTGCATGTTTACATCTTGTCAAGCACAAGACTGGTGGCTGTGTCCCTTATTTTGTGTATGTGGGGTTCTATACGAATGCGCTTGCTCCAGCTGGTGGTACAATATTCGGAGGCGGTATCGCCTCTCTGATCCTCTAGTTTTTTTTTAACTTGCAAATCTGAAATTCTTACACCCTTTACAACGTAAAAAATTGTCTAATTGCTAGAAAAAGGCTGCCTCTGTCTAAGATAATAACTAAAGACATGTAAATGAATTTTTTAGATATTCATTTAGTTTGTCATTGATATAGTAAATGACTCATCAGCACAGAAGCAAAGAAATTATGTTTAATAATTATGTTTAGTGAACATATATGCAATAAGCTAATTGTACAGATTAAGAGAATGGAGTCAGAAAAGTATAAGTGAATATTTTCTGTCGGCTTTTATCCTGCTACCCTAGCCTGCCATTATTACTGACATCACTGTCTTCTAAGTTCCATGAACTCTTGGAAGACTTTGAGCTGTCGGTCTTAAGATTTTCATTCAGGAAGTTCCAACCCATTAAATAGAATATATGTAGCAATTACTATAAGTTTCAATAGTATATTATATAGCATGCTAAGAATATAGGCTTGATTTCAACTTTGCATTGATTTAGTTATCAATTTATTATAATTGTAATACAGACTGAAATTATTTTGCAAAGAATTTTTTAAACTCATGGCAGCCCTCTCGCATTTAATGATTCACAAAGGTATTGAATTTCACTCTTTATATTTCCAGGAAATAAAGCAGTTAATGACACAGAATATTCACACATGAGAAAAAAGACAGAAGACTTTGAGCCTGAAAATGAAGAGATCAAAAATAAATTATGAAAATGAGATATCTGATACGGGTTTTATAGAAATGTGTTCCAGGATAGGAACTGCATCTGTGAAGGATATTTTGGCGACAAAATTTGAACCACAGATGTTGAAGAATTAGACTGGCACAACATTTACAAACTCCATGGAACTGTTTGTTAAGTTAATGGAAGGAACTTACTTAATAATTGTGAAGCAGCAAAAAAATTATGGAGCACTTGATGTCTAATATATCAAAAAGTTGAAATCAATTAGCTCTGTGTGATGTCCATAAAATGTCATATTTAGATATATTTCATGATATCTCATTTAAAGAAGCAAGTCATTGTATAGAGTATAGAGACAAACAATATTCCACAATTGAGTTACAATGTCTGTATTCTCCATATATTGCTTAAAGGCATTTTTTGATCATTCTGAATCTGTTAACCCAGTGCAGTACAACACATCAGTCTCATTTATTACATTGTTAAGATTATTTGTTGGCTTTACATGTGTCTGTATCTTTAAAACCACTGACACAATATGACAAGTCACTGGTGTAGATATGACTTGTCATTTTTAAAACAATATACATTTGCCAAAGTAGAGTGCTCTCACCAAAAGTTACTTATAATGGCTAATATTAAGACAATGGTGCATGTTGGCTTTTTGATACCTGGACATAGTGGTAAAGTACTGTAAGATGTTTTTATAGGGCTTTCTTGATACATAACATTGTACGCATTTAATACCTGTACTGAACTTTTCTTTAGTTCTTTATTATGGGTTTGTGTCACTGTTGGAGAGAATCGCTGATCAGAATATTTGAAATAGCTTGCTGGTACACCTGAAACATTTCATTACCGACGCATTCTTATGTACATTTAAATCTATGCTACATTATCCAGTTCTAGATATTTTATTATCACCTTGCCCAGTTGGGCAGCCTGTGATTGCTGGCATTGTAATTGAAATAATACTGTTAATGCATTAAAAAGATACGTCATAGTGAACATCGACAACCTGGCAAATATTCCACAACGTCTAAATCGACGACATTATGACCCCATTTCCAGAGATTAGATCGATCTACTTTAGATCGACCTAACTCCCTGGGGGTTCACGCTAAATAGCTGTAAGCCGAGCGGACACGAAAGTTAATTACCCCCTTACAGCTTGTAGTAGGCGGGACGGACATTTAAGCCGGATTATCTGACAGTAATCTAGTGAGACTCCCCGCGGGGATAGATCGATCTAAAAGCTCTGGGAATACAGCCTTAGATTGGAGTGTCAAAAGTGAACCACAAGGCCTTAATTTATCATTCAAAACTGCAAATTGAAATACCCCATTACTGTAGATCCATCATACGCTCAGCCTCCAGCGAAGTCTGCATCACATCTGATGTTTTTTTTGTTTTTTTTTTCCTAGCTGGAAATCAAAATTCTCCTTATTTAGTTTGCGTCCGATTCTGTGCATGCTGATTTGGGGTTTGCCCTTTTTTTTTTTTTTTTTTTTTTTTTTTTGGGGGGGGGGGGGGGAGTTCTCAGCTGCCACGACGTGGTCATGATATGTGGTCAGGTGCAACAATTGGTTTGTTCGGTAATTATTCCGTCAGTTTCACCCGAGGCTCAGTTGTGATCAAGAGATCGGTGAAGATGCACCTGGATGCACGAAACGGTTCTCGAGCAAGAAAGGTAAATTGCTATGGGTCTACACAAAATTTACTTTCTAATTAGTGGCAGAAACGGTATTCTCAGTCTGTCTTGTAAGTCGGGTACGTGAAAAGTCTTGGACATACCTAAAGTTGTATACGGTGGACTGTCCAGGGGAGACGAGCAAGTTGCTCGTTGAACGCCTAGTCCGGCTTTGGTAGTTAAAGGAGGCAATAGATTCGCTGGGCATTTGGCTATATTTCGGTGGCTCAAGAGAGGCACGCAAGTCGCGGCTCGGTGAAAATGGGGCCTAAGATGATTGGGCAGTTGTAGTCTGTATAGCTCTATAAAAGTGGGATACATTTTGCTTATTGTTCTTCGGCGCCACTTTCAAATTAAAGTGGGGAGATCGCACGCTACCACGCACCAACCAGAATATTCCATCTTTGCATGGTACATGCAAATCGTGTGTGGTTGGTTGCAGGGGAATTTTCATACACGACAATGAAAGTGATTGCACGTTTTGGTTCACGTCCTTGAGGCTAACAAATGATTTTTTGCTGTCCCAACCGGGTCTCGCAGACGAACGCCTGCCACCTCGACTCTCTCCACCTGTTCTGGTTCTGTAAGCCGTGCGTCCTTTGGCAATTAAAAGAAATATATGTTCTTAGTGTTTCTCTATTTAACGAGTAGTTCCATGACCTCGAAAAATTAACGGTTTTATAATGTGTATACGCCGTCATATGTAAAGACGGTTATTCATGCCCGTCGAAACCAAGAGAAAAGAGTCGGTCATCATTCATCATTTATTGCTTTTCGAATCCTCGTGAACTACGGCAGCACGCGTAATGCCGGAAGCTTAACGGGGTTAATTTGATCACATTGCCATACATATACAGCTATTTTAACTCCTAATACGGCGTAAGTCTATCCACTCCACTGTACGCCAGTGCACTGGACCACAGTTTGGCTTGAGGTGAGGTCGGTATGTACTGGAAAGTTCGGTAAGGTATATCAAATAGATAGGTAACACTCAACGTTTTCCAGTTCGAAAATTTACCGCAAAATTAAATTTTTCGAGAAAGGTATTTTTCTTCTACCCACTGCTCGACTCATCCCTGCACTGGATTAAAATCTCTGCTAATAATATGTTGTAAATGACTGAGCCAGTCAATAAGACTGCCGTGTCTTCTTGTACTTCTCAGAAGGAAGCATCCACATCAGGTTTAATTTGAGGGGTTTTATCACTTATTAGGTCTGAATTGACATGGTAATTACCTTTGCAGGGGACATCGAAATTTTTTGGGGGGCATTCATTAAGATAATTCTCACAAGATTTATCAGCACATAAATCTGAAACAAGCGTGCGTGATATAATTTTTCTCGAAAAGGATTTTTCTCCCACTCAACACTCATTTCTCCACCCGTCCCTGTGCTTGGATACGATATTTTATTTCACTTTGATTTGATGGTTTAGTTCTAAATGATAGGCCGGTCATGTAATTGATGTGGCCTCGTTTTCACTGCATGGCAAATATGTAAAATAAATAAAAATATTTTTTTAAAGGAAAGAAGGACAGAAATGAGGCGGCGTTTTGTATTGTAGCATTTGATCGTACATAATATTAGTACACACGCTTTTATTTTTCGCAAAAAATGTTTCGGGATGTCGGATGAGAAGATAATGATGTCAACACTGAGCACGCCTCAGATAAACTTACTTTTGGTCTGAATTGAGAAATATAGGAAGCTTTGCAGGATAAAAATTACCTTTAGACATAGACTTGTGAAGCATATTAAATGTTGACAGCGATTGAATTAATGAAACGGATTTCGATCGGTCTTTTTTACTATTAATTACAACTGAAGGTCGAAAAATGTTTGTAGAAATTTAAAAAGCAATGACGAATCCAGGGGTGTTCTCCCTCCCAAAATAACAGCTTGTATAACAATTAAAACCGTCAAAACCTAGTTATTTTTCCAGCTCCGTATCCTATATTCTGTACTGTAGTGAAATTGCCCTCGTCTACTGTTTTATATTTGTCTCGCTTCTCTGGGTAAAGAATATTGTGAACCTTAACCCCACCCACCCCTTCCCTCGCCAAAATTCTGGATCCACCAATTAGCACGCTTTATGTTGCACTATGATACGTACATAATTTCGCATTAGACTTTCATTTGTGAATTCTTAAAAACAAAAAGTAAATAAATGAAAAAGGAAGGAAGGAAGAAAGAAAAAAAATCTAAGGACTGAGATCATCGTGAGATCACCTAGAATTGAGCCGGTCTAAACCGGACTGTTACTACTAGAATATTCAGTACACGAGAACGTTCACGTTTGCCACTGGTACCCTAGAAAAGGGGTAAACTGTCCTCGCTAAATGATACATGTTCCCCGCTAGCAGGAGATATACTGTGGCACCTCCAAGACACCGTATCAGGTAAAACATTGGCTGCCATACATGTAGTTTAGTTTACATTAAGTTCCAATAACTCAGTTGCTCTCTTTGTTGTACTTGTAAGGTTAACAACTGATTTATAAGTTGAAAGATCTTATAACCATGTTGTCCTTAAATCGCCATATAAAAGATACTCAAGCAAAACGTGGACTTCTGTTTCAATCACACCCCAGTTGCTTCATGGGCATAAACTTGATGCTTTAGCTAGACCACTTTAACGCCCCCTTTCACTATATGTTTGGAGCATCGAAAACGAGCAAGTGTCGGCTACTAACAGAGGACTAAAATACTACTAGTATATTGTTTTTTTGTACAACTTGTACATCAGGTGGGTCATAAAAAATGTTACTTATTTCAAAGTTAAATAAGTACTGTAGTTTTGTAGATATTGCAATGAAAGTAGAGATGTTTGGCATTTTTACTTAAGATTTTAATTTTTCAGTGTGCCACAAAATAATCCCAAATTCCACTGCAATATCTTCAAAACTGTTGAAGTTAGTAAGCTTTGAAATTGGTAGCGGTTTAATGAGCCTCCCGATTCATGAAGATAAAATTTATTACAACCGGGCAGTTTGTCGCATTATGTTTGAAAATCATAAACTAAACATTCTTTTCATAAATATGGTGCACATTAACTAAAATTGTATTGTTTGGCTTCTTTTAATTTACCCCCCAAATCTCTTTTTTCATTTTTAGTCTATCCCCTCAAACTAACTAAAACGTGCCTGATATTGTTGCTTATCGCATACGCAAACATTTTCCCTGTGCTCGTTTACCCGATGTACCCGGCCATGACGTAAGCCTACTGCTACCTGGTGTACTGACGGTAAGATGCTAGCCTATGTACCTGTATTTAATATCTCTCTGTCACACAAACCCTGCATTTATATTTGGGGGCCCATATTAAAATGCCAGGGATACCCGAAAGTATTCGAGGCACGGAAGTGATCTACAGGTACCTAATTGAGGCATTTTGACTGTCATTATAGTGAGGCAGAATATTCCCCCAGCTGTGGATACAAGGGTCAGTAGTGATAGCCAGCTTGGATGATCAGTATGGAACCTGTATCCAGTAAGTCTCGAGAGGCACTTGTCGTATACGTCAATGGGAAAAAGGTAAGAAACCCTTTTCTCTGTGTATTTGGATAGGAAGGATGCTTTTAATGATAATAATTTTAATAATTATTATCATTATAATTATGTTTTTCGCATACGATAATAACAGGATTTTTCATTTATTGTGAATGCTGTAACGCATTGACATTGCGTTCGTATCAGATCGTAATGAAATGCCAAGTTGTTAACTACCGTTTGAAATTTCAGTTTTCAAAAATGCTATATAGTACCTTAACAATTTTTTTTATTTAATGATTTAACGTAAATGGTAAATGATTGTATTTTAACAACGTAAAACTTTATATTGTATAATATATACATATTGACATTTTTGCAACTGCATTTGCTTCAGTGGCAACTCACATAGTTAACCGCCCGTAGCTTATTAAGTCATTTTCCAATTTGACGGATAAATCTTACTGCTTTATATGCCTGGAAGTGTGGGCAACCTTCCACGGGATTTTATTATTGAGATATGTTATCATTTGACCCAGGGAAATCTTTCGAATTCATAAAAAGTTAGTAAATCGAAACAGGTTCACCCTTGCATACATTGTACTGGTACATCTACTTTCCCGGGGTCGATTTGACAAAAGAACCTCAGAACAAATGCTAATCTTAATTAACTTTAAACCGAGCATTCTCATCTTCTTCAAATCGAGATAAATCCATAGTAGTTCGATAAATTGAAAATAACTACTGGCCAGAATAAACGTACAGCAATTTTTAAAAATATTTTTGGCACACTTTATGACTTTAATTTACAGGAACTACTACGGATGTATCTTTGGTCAAAATAGGCTAAAATATTTGTTTTGAGAGTTACCACCAAGGCTTCATTCACATGCAATGTCTATTTTCTAAATTCTATTTTCTATTTGCTATCTGTGCCCTGAATATCCCGCAGCGTAATTATTGGCAGCGCGAGCCAGTTACTATAAGTTACTTTGGGTCCTATGTTTTAGTAAAACCGGTGGAACGAAAATTAAACTGAGGGTCCATGTAACAGAAAGTCCGCCCTCCATATTGTTATAATGGTTAGGGTTAGTCCGACCAAAGTGGGTCAAATCTAGGGCGAGATTCACCTGTACAAATGAATGGGAGGCGGACTTTCTGTCATGGGGGACTCTGTGTGACACCGGTCCCTACCGTGCTAGGATGAATGCATATGAGTATGGGTCAAGAGGTCACACTGGCTGGATAATTAACGTAGTTCACCTGATAGCAATCTTATTATTTTAAAGATGCATTTGAAGTCAATTTTTTTGTCACAAAAGCTGACCGAATGCCACCATACAGTTTCAAATAGTGTAACTTAGATACAAAACGATATCAGGTCATATAACTTGAAAAATGATATTTGAACGTATTTTCTGCTTGCTTTCCATGCTGTATATAAACAGGGCAGATACATGTAAGTAGGTCAAATTTACGACCGAAATTTGAAGAAGGTGCAGTCTATGGCTGTGCGAGAGATTAATTCGGTTTATCTCTTGGCAAGCTTGAAAATGATATGAGGACGTAAGTCTCAAATGACGCCAGCTTAAAACAGTTAAAAAAACAGACTCGAATGTCAATGGAAGTAAAAAGTTCTGAATGGCAATATACAAGGTGCGGGATATACAATGCAGCTGTTTAATATTTAATGAACAACCCAGTAGACAAGCGGGTATTGCTACGTGTAGGTGGCAATGAACAGCCAAGTATATGAGTACATTACGGGGCTAAGCGTAAAAATAAATACAACATTTTACAATGCAACCTACAACTGAATTATTCAGAGTCACTTAAGATGCTGTATCTCGTGTGGAAGGCTTCAGATGAGCACATGTGCTTTCTTTCCCAATCATGTTTATATGGCCATGATGCAATTATCAAGATTTGGTCGTTGAGGTAGAAGGAAAAAAATAGTATAAGCAAGCATAACCTATCAAATCAGCTGAAGATAGCAATATGAAATAAACTATCAAACCAAATATTGGACCAGCGATATGAAAAAAAAACCTTCCTAGCGGGTTGCTGCCGAATAAGATATATGAATTATGACCTTACCAAGGTTAGAAAGTTCTCGTTTTATGATGGAATTAGTCAAGACAAGTTTTCCCTTTCTTTACAGCGTAACTGACATAATGTTCTGATGAGGTTTGCCTTTCTACAATTTGCAAAATAACCAGCGTTGTTTTATAATGTTTTTTTTTTAATTTCAGATTGTTGAAAATAATCCTGATCCTGAAACAACCTTGATTCAGTTTCTCCGTCTAAAACGTATCCTTATATCTATCTCTTTCTGTATGAGTGTGTGTGTGTGCGCGCGCGTGCATGGGTGCATGTGTGTGTGTGTGTGTGTGTGTGTACGTGTGTCCGCACATGCACATGTGTTTCCATGAACTGTGTTATGTTTTTAAACCTTAACTCGAAGTCAGTGCGACTACCTGGCACCAAGCTGGGATGTGCTGAGGGAGGCTGTGGCGCGTGTACAGTGATGGTTTCAAGATATGACAACATCAATAGTGAAGTAACGTATCCTTTTAATACATATATCCCTAGCGACAAAAATAGGAATTATTTGAATCAATTTAATTCGTTGTACGTTATTGTTTTTCATATGCAAAATTGTTGGATGGATTGGAAGCCACCCTCGTAGCTGGAAGCTAAATAGTGGCAAGGTAATATACCCCTACTTCGGGGAGGAAGTTTAGTGCAATCTTCTTGAGCCTGGCATATCATGAAACGAAGACACATTATAAAATAAACTAATGTGTTTTACGTCATTATCTATTTGCAGATATCAGAGACGGGTCAATGAACCATATGCCTTATGTTTACGGAGGTCCATCTGGCTATGCAGATGGACAGCCGCTTGGTCCCTTTTTATGCTTGTTTAGTACATTCCCGCAACTCGAAACCTCGGCTATTTTTCAAGATGCACGCAAAGTCTCCTATGAAATTGTAACCCATGATTGTTGTTAGTAAGCGTACTTTGTGGAAAATATGTACTTGTGCACCAGCCAGGACCAGTTGAAATAATCAGTTCCAATATGCTGGTATATATGGGAGCAGTCTAAGGAAGGGTCATTCGAACAGTAATAATTGGGAAATAAATGCAACATGGCTGGCTTGGGGTTTATAATTATATAAAATCATGCACTTCACACTAAGCCTACATAATTCTTGATACTTAGGTAGAAAAGAAAATCTACGACCCAAATTAAAAACCTGGACCACATGCACCCTTCACTCACTTTCATCAAAATTACATGATTCGCGTGACTGATATGACAGAGTTAGCACAATTGACCCACTTTTTGTCTTTTTGATAAGAAAATAACCCATATGGTTATTGCTGCGTATTTTTATTTACTTAATCCCTAACCAATGCTTGTCTTAATGGGAGGAAAAGAAGTACAAGTATAAACAGACTTTAAACATTTGATATATGATCAATAAGAACTGTTATATATTTTTACCTATATAAATACTGTGTTATCTAGTTGTAACTGTACAGGCCCCGCTCAATCTTTGTCATTTATGTGGACTAGTAGACTAAAGTTAATAAGTAAGGAGTTGGCGGTTAGCATTATTATATATATATGGGCATTCTTGTCAGCCTGTAATAGAGACAAGTTCTTAGCATGTTTTCGTTAATGCTACCCTCAGCCATACTGCCGTAAATGCTTGTATAGCTCCCGTGTGTATCTTCCATGGGATGGCAGTCACCACTGTGGAAGGAATAGGCAGTTGTAAAACTAGACTTCACCCAGTTCAGGTAAGTTCATATCTTGCTCTGAATGACTAGACATTTTTTGTTTGTTTTGTTGAGACAAATAATGCAGATATTTTTGTAATTTATTTCCCCGCACAGCATTAATTGATCCACTTATTTGGTTAAAAAGCTGCTAAACACTGGATAAGCATTTATCGAAACCGATCTATCTACAAGGTAGTACTTGGAAAAATACAAAAGGTTTAAGTTTCGAATATTAGTTATCTTCATTGAATATATTGAGATTCATGTCTTCCTAATAAACACACAACGCTTTATAACCTTGTTATAACGTTTTCTGGTTATATAAACGTTATGGTAACGATATAATGACGGTTTGTGTTTGGTAAGTTGAAGCCTCACGTTCGAAGTATGCAATGGAGAGGGCAATCGCCCAATTGGTTCCACGTTATATATTCATGTGCACTAACTGTCATTAATTATTGCAATGTGCCCGCTTCAAGGAAATCATTGCCAAGACTCATGGGACTCAGTGTGGGTTCTGTACACCTGGGATGGTCATGTCCATGTACACGTTACTCAGAAACAAACCACAGCCGGAAGTGGAAGATGTGGAACGCATATTCCAAGGTAATTTTGGCAGTTCCTGTCATGTTTCAGAGCAGCTTGTTAGATCCTCAATTTTGTGCGATTTGTATTATGAATCATTGTCAAACGTGTACATTTTTCAACCTCAAATAACAAAAAAGAGAACAAAGTATAAAAAAAATCAAGGTAGGTGTCCTTTGTGCCTCTTGGTCATGGAATCTGAGAATATTGGTAAAAAGTTACTCAAAATAAACTGGAAAATTCGTCGTTAAATTGTGGCATGGAAAATTGGGCAGAATGACGGCTTTACATTCACTTGTTCAATTAAAACCATAAATCAACAATACTTAGCCTATCTTTCAAATATCGTATTGTGAATAGGTAACTTGTGCCGATGCACCGGGTACAGGCCAATTTTGGATGCTTTCAAAACATTTACCAAAGACAGCTGCTGTCAACGTGGAGAAGGGTGCTGTAAACAGAATAGCGAAGTCAACACTGAGTGTTCCACGCCCGGAGAAAGCGCCATTCTTGAACCAACACAGGAGCTGATATTTCCTCCTGAGCTCAAGGCAGGTTACAGGTTACTGTTATTACTTAACTTACTGTAAATGGATGAACTTCTTCAACCTAGTATCTAGTAGAATAATCTTGTATTAAAAAATAGAACATATTGGTGAGTTTGTCGATAATTAATGCCATCTGTTCCAACTGTGAGTTTTTTTTTACACCGTGTGATATTTAAAGATTTTTTTTCAAACACGAAATATTTAAGTGTAAAGATGTTAATCAATCACAATACTTGTATTCCCTGAAAAACCCTGCAATTTTGCCTATATTTCAGCTTAACACCAGTTTTAGTTTTGAAACTGTCAAATTCCAAGGAGAGAGATTAACGTGGTACAGACCAGTAACACTGACAGAACTGCTGGAATTGAAAACCGCCTACCCTGCAGCGAGAATCGTTGTTGGTTATACCGGTCTTGGTGCGTGTCTTTCAAACTTGAAGAGTGACCTAACACTACCAAAATATTTCAAAGATAAACCATTAAGAATGTGAGCGTTTATAACATTTAAAATGATTAGACGTTTAGTTTTTAAAGTCTTTAAAGGCATGGTAAGAAATGATCAAAAGTTCATTATAATTATACTTCATTATTATTAATCATTTCAATTGTTTATTTTTTACTGTATATTGTGGTGAAATTTCTCAATTATTTCCCTTTTCTCGTATAGCTCTTGAGGAGAAGTACCGGGGCAATGCTTGTACCACAGTGATCTCAGCAACACATGTTCCAGAACTCCTTGAGGTGCGTCACGACGATAGCGGGATTCACGTCGGCGGGGCAGTCACGATAACAAGACTGACCGAGTCTTTGGCAAAGGCAGTGAAACAATTACCAGGTCAAACATCTCTCTCTTTCTCTCTCTACCCCCTTTCTCTATCTTTAAGAGGGATTTGCATTTATTTTGAATTTTTGTAAGGCATCAAATCTGGTGTCTAAGGTATGCAAATACCATTGATGGTTTACTTATCAATATACCTGTAGTTAACCCATATGATTAGACTTATAATATAAAACTACTGACTTGCAGAATACCAGACAAGGATCTTTGCTGGTATTTTAGAAAATTTGAAATGGTTCGGAGGAGAACAAATTCGCAATATGGCGGTGAGTGCTTAAATCATTTCTACCAATTGTAGATCGTTTTCCTGTTTTGTTTTTGCGCATGAATTAATTTGACATATATGCGTGTTTTATCAACATGTTGCAGGTTTGTTTTAAGTGAACTTTTATATATATTTCAGTCTGTGGCAGGGAATATTCTGACGACAAATTACATATCGGACCTGAACACCTTACTGATGGCGGCAGGATGCACGGTTACTTTGGTTTCAAAAGGTTGGGAAGTCAATCAGTATATTTATAGTTTTGTATTTTTAGGAGTATTTTAATGATAGATGGCAGGCATATAATTTGATCTAGTGCAAGAGATATCTTTTTTACTATTAAGCTTATGAAGTGTAAAAGTTCTAATAAACACCTATACTCCGAGTAATACTGACATTATCTCTGCCTTTTGTAGATGGTGGCCAACGAGCGGTTCCGCTGGACAGCGCATTTTTCCTTGGTGACAGAAAAACAAAACTGACCCAGACAGAAATATTGTTGTCTGTTCATATCCCCTATACAAAAATGGTACACCTAAACATTGCCTATGTCTATAGTTTTTTATCTGCTGTTAAGATGCAAGATTGAATATCTAAACACCTTCTGATATCATAGTTATTTTTAAAACAGACTAGGGTTAAGTACTGAATTCAAATTTAACAAGAGAATTATTTTATTATAACAATTATCACATAATTATTACACAGGCGTTCCACCAAAACTAGCTCTACTTCAACTATAAGTGTGATCAGTAATTTAGATGCATTAACAATATTGGAAAGTACCTACTTCCTGTATATCCTTGTGATTCTAGAATGAGTATTATCATGGATACAAACAAGCACAGCGGAGGACTCTCGACATCGCTATCGTCAATGCCGGTATGAGGGTGGTGTTTGAGGGAAATCTAATCAAGGAAATGGTGATGACATTTGGTGGATTGGCGCCAATAACTTTGGCGGCTGTCAAAACCGCCGAAGAAGCTATTGGAAGGTATGTTTGAATGTCCTTACTGCCAAGTTACATGTGTTATATCGGTACTTCATCGCATTCTAAACTGGCCGTTCTTTTTGCTATTTCGGCACATCCAGAAAGTATTTTATCCCCCGTGTATTATCGTTCCAGAAAGTGGGACGATAGTCTTGTTGCAGATGCTTGTCAGTGGCTATCCGATGAGCTTCCATTAAAGCCAGACGCACCTGGTGGTCAAGTGGAATACCGGAGGACGCTGGCCATAAGCCTGTTCTTTAAGTTCTACGTTAGTGTGCATATGGAATTGAGCAAAATGAAGGTACTTTCCAACATCTACCGTGCGTTTTAAGGGGATTCCCTGTCTGCGTATAGTTTCTTCACTTATGGCCCTCTAAGGTTAACCATCTACGTGTACCAATAATGTCACTTTAATTAAGATGTTAATACTAATATTGCGCACAAGGGCTGACTTACCACTGCGAGTACTGTTTATTTGCGGCCGCGAATTCAATTTCAGCACGATGCCATCGGAAGTAAACTTTTAACGACATTCGCAAGCGCTGCTGGCGACTGTCGCCATGGTTTGACTAAGAGCACACAAGTCTTTGAAGAGGTTTCAGTCGACCAACCGCTAGATGACGCTGTAGGGCGCCCGCTACCGCACATGGCCTGCATGCAGCACGCGACTGGAGAGGCCCAGTTCACTGACGACATGCCTCGCGCAGAAGGTGAGAAACGCAATGATTGTGACATTAACGCAACATGTGTTGCTGTAGTTAAGAACAGCTATATCAGCTTTTCTAATTTTTTTGTTGATGGTTCGGTCATTATTCCCGGTTGCGATTCATCTTCAAGTGGTGTCCTCCAGTTGTTGCAGTTTAAAACATCTACAAGATCATTTTGATGATTATAATATAGGACATATGTATGTCAAATAAGCAACGATATTTTTTCTGAAATTATGATGTTTATCAAAACAGATAACTTTGTTGGTTTATTTTTGGTTGAGTATGATGTAACGCAGTATCCTGAAATATTTGTATGATCAAATTAAAATGTCTTATCTTTTTTTTACAGTTTTCTAAATTCTCCTCTCGCGTTAACGTTGAATATTAATCAAACTTTCTTTTGTAACAGTTACTTCCGTCTTTGTCCGTGCAGTAAGTGATGTCTATGCTATTTCCCCTTTTACAGGTGAGCTTTACCTGGCGCTTGTCACCAGCACCAGAAGCCACGCCACGATTCAGAGCATAGATGCCAGCGCCGCCCTTGCATTGCCTGGTGTCGAAACCTTCCTCTGTCACAAGGACGTGCCTGGATCCAATATCACAATGGCTCTCCAATCGCAGTTAGAAATATTTGCTTCAGAAAAGGTAGAAAAATAATTAGAAACAGAAATGAACATGATCGGTGAGTACGTAATAAAAAGGAGATTGAACTAAATTATCTAATTAAAATGGTAAAAATTATCGCCGCCAACTGCAGATAGGCCTAGTCGAACAATGATTCCTGAGAAGGAGAAAAATTGCTCCTATTTTCACAGTATATAAATTTGGCGAGAAAACTCCAGATAGGATACCTTTAACTTTGGGTTTCCGTTTGCATTATTTGATGTTTTAAAATGAACAGATAATGACACTGAATACTTTTCCACAGGTGACTTGTTACGGCCAGGTTATCGGAGCGGTGGTTGCGGATACCTTTGCGAATGCCCGAAGAGCTGCCAAGGCGGTGAAGGTTGAATATGGCGAGGACCTGCCAACGGTTTTGACCATCGAGGTGAGTTTAATTGCAGAGATTTTTAGTCATTTAATAAATTATGCTGTAATATCTTTTATATACTATAAGCATTTCGTTTGCTTGCACAGGAAAATTAAAATCAGACAAGATAATTGGAAATAGACTAGTTGACAGCACCAGGCAGCCAGATTTCATAAGAAACTCCTTTCCGCTAAAATATATATTTGAGTTTCTTTTTAAAACAACTTGAGTCTCTGGTAATACCAGTCCGGTGATACTAGTATTGCTTGTTAAAATATAGTAGTCCATGAATGCGACCTGAAACAAAAAGAACGGACAAAACTTGAGAGAGTAATGTTGAAAGTAATGCTCAAAGATAGCCGTGATGCATTTTTTCGGCATTAATATTCCTCTAATGTTTTCAGGAAGCGATAGAGAAGAATTCTTTTTACGACCCCGCTCCTCTCAGAGTAATGACAACGGGGGATGTGGAGAAAGGTTTTGCCGACTGCGCCCAGACATTAGAAGGTGTGGCAAGAGGCGGTGGACAGGAACACTTTTACATGGAGACGAACGTGACACGTGCCATTCCAAGAGGAGAGGACTGCGAAATGGAGTTATTTGTCTCCACGCAATTCCCAGCTTCCATTCAGGTCTAGGATGCCTTTGACCACACTTTTGACACTTTTCTTTTAGTCTTCGGTGTCAGATCTATGTTTTCATTTATTCCAAACACTATATCAATACACTTTTTGACAGGTCATGACGTCCCGTATTTTTTTATGTATTTCAACATTTTAAGCAGCTAATATTGTTTTAAACATGATACATGTACCTTCAAGTCATGAAAATATTTAATTTGCTATATTTTGAATTAAAATATCATCCTTTTTTCTTAAAGCAGGTCACTTATATTTATAATATTGCTATGAAAGTAGCATTTCATACATTTTATTTGTACTGTTATAATTTAAAAAAACGCACCACACGAAACCTATTAATTGACCATCACCGTAATCTAAAATTAACATTTTACGTGTAACTGCACATTTTCCACACCAGGCTGCGACTGCCAAGGCGTTGGGGGTACAAGCAAGCAGAGTACAACTGAGAGTCAAGAGAGGAGGTAGGCAGACCAGGGCTCCGTATCTCGAAAGGTTCACTATGTTGCGCACGTGCGCAAGTGTCTCGATTCCATGGCCCCATAGCTCGAAATAGAATCGGTTATGGAATCGAGACACTAACGCACGTGCGCAACATAGCAAACCTTTCGAGATACGGAGCCCAGGGCACAACATATTCTCATTCATAGAAAGAAAGGATATCCTTTGTCTAAGAAATGTTATACTCGTAATCTAAATGCATGTGAAGGGTGAAGCATAACCTTGATAGCTAACGCTCTACTCGATTTAGATATTTTATGAACGTAAGAAGCATAACAAGTAACTATCTACGGGTGTATGCAAACTGGGGGTCGTAATCTGATTCACTGTCCTTTTACTACTGTGTAGGAGGAGGTTTTGGTGGCAAGGATTTTGGCGGGCAGACGCTGACACTACCAGTTGCTATCGCTGCATTCAAGTATGTAAAATCTTTCCATACTATAGTTTGTTTTACAAGCATTGTCCTTCTACAAGAGATCAAGTTCTTAAATTGTACGTACATTAAGTTTAACTCCAAGAGATGAAATATGTTATCGTGATAACGGCGATTTGAAGTTTCAGTTAATAAAAGCGTAATCATTTGGTTTTGCAACACGTACCTTGGTGTTGATGCAAAGTCCGTCTTTACACTGAATAAACCTACATTCTGTAAAGCTTAAAGTATGATTAATGTGCAGCACTTTAATTAAAAAAATCTCTTTCAGCCTGAATAGACCAGTCCGTTGTCAGTTGGAGAGGGACAAAGACATGTTGGTGACAGGGGGAAGGCATCCGTTTTTGGGAAAATATAAGGTACACCTTGTTTATTTATTAAAGTAAGTCTGCCGTCTGTCGAAATTGCGACTGTCCAATAAATCATATCATTACCTTCTCTAATGTACAACCACGAGTAAACCCAGCAAAGATGTTTCTTAATGGGGTAATGCTACATTTATATGGACTTTTGTGTTTCTTCACTAAAGGTTGGCTTCAGCGAAGGAGGAGATATTTCTGCGCTGGAGCTGTTCTTTTACCTCAATGCTGGTCACATTCTCGGCGAATCTGCGTTGGTATGTAATGTTTATATGTCGTATGGATTCTAACGAGAATTATTGTAGAACAGTTTTGGCATACTGTCATAGATATACAGAGTGTAGTTACTAGGATATATGACATACAATAGCATGGTTTTCAAACGACCAAACGAGTGTATTTTACTGTACGAATTTAGTGTCATGTTGAAAACGCATAGCAATTTGGTGATCAATTATTTATTACGCAGATAATGCATAGAGCTCTGTTCTACCTGTCCGCCAACTACCGCATTCCTAACATCACAGTCAACGCGTACGTGTGCCGCACCAACCTTCCTTCCAACACCACCATTAGGGCCGTGGGTGTGCCTCAGATCGCGTTCGTCACGGAAAGCATAATTGAGGATGTGGCTGTGTTCTTAGGGGTCCCTGCCGAATCTGTGAGTCTTAATAAATCGTCTTTGTTATTAGGCCCTACTGGTGGATCCGGGGTTTTTCTGAGGAAGTTGATTTTGTTTTACACAAAAGGTTAGATGATGACAACTGGATCTGCCATTGGATATGCACGTGCTTACTTTAAGGAAATACAAAAACATTCAGTTAATTTTTGCCGTTTTCACTTGGCCCCTTTTGTCGTAGGCCTGTCTTATCACAATCGCTTTTTAAAATGTTGTATACGCTGTTTCATGTTATGTGTCTTTTTAGTTTAAAAAGCTGATGTTGTTTGCATGTTGTTATTTGTAGGTGCGCGAGTTGAATATGTACAAGAATGGGGACTTGACACATTTTCATCAGCCCATAACCGATAGCCAATTGAAACGTTGTTGGGATGACGTCATCAGTCAGAGTTCCTTTGAATCTAGGAAGAATAGCGTAGCCAAATTCAATAAGTAAATAATATTGTCAAAATTTTGAAGTGCTGTTAAAATAACATGATGCAATTTCTGTTCTTCAATATCTTTTCGGTGGAAGTATATATCATTTAAGATGTTTTAAGCAAAATGATTGGAATGCATTTTTCAGGGAGAATCGCTGGAAAAAGCGAGGCATTTCCGTAATACCGCTGCAGTACGGCATGTCAATGTTTCCAGGAGTGTTTTTGGAACAGGTAAAATCACCATCTCTATGCACACTTACACAGAGAGAGAGAGAGAGAGAGAGAGAGAGAGAGAGAGAGAGATACTAAATTTATGAATATTTTACAGATATATAAATGAAAACACTTACTTTGTAAGTGCTGCAAATAGCTATTTTAACTCGCCTTTCTGGATTCAACAATTTCAGGGTGCTGCTTTGGTCCATGTGTACCAAAGTGACGGCTCGGTGCTGATATCACATTGTGGCGCAGAGGTGGGCCAAGGTCTGCACACGAAAATGATACAGGTATTTGTCCCTTCTAAGTGCCTTCAACACAAATAACAATACATGTATAACCATTAACCCAGAGATTCCCATGACCAATCTTGTCAACTAGAAAATGCTGTCTACTTCAAGGAGGTCTTGTTCAGCCAGGTCAAGTTGCCCTAAAACCTAGGGTGGTCTAAACTCGCAACCCTAACATCATTGTTTGATTGTGACCAACGTCTCATTTGATTTAATCGTATCTAGATGCAAACTAGATATCAAAGAAAGAACGGTTCACCTAGGTATCTTAACATATTAAATAGTTTCTCACTTTTCTGCGTAAAATAGGGAAACTTCTTGCTCCGTATTAGAATATACCTGTTATACATGTAGCAATACGCTTCTGAATTGTTAAAATGACTGTTTTTCTACTTCTATTTTTAAAGTGAGAACTTGCGCTTGTTCTGTTATATAGGTGGCAAGTCGGGCCTTGAACATTCCTACACATAAAATCCACATCAGTGAAACCAATACAAGCATGGTACCCAACGGCAGCACCACAGGGGGCAGCATGAGTTCTGATCTTCAAGGAATGGCGGTCATTGTAAGTGAAACAATAATACACTTTACAATGACACAATTCGTTTCGAGTGTATTAAGATGGCACAGCATTTAGATTCCGTTAGTAACATCAAAATGGTACAAAATTTCAAGTTCATATTGTAATACTGCTTATCGCTGAGAATGTGTGATATACTATAAATGGAAACTATTTGAGGTAGAATATGTGATTGTAATGTTTTTACCGCATGTTTTCTATTTGTTTGTCAAGATGAAACACACGTAAAAGATGTAGCCTTAAAACGTGACAAAAGCCAAGATTGTAACAGTACAAAGTTATTGTTTTATGATTCAGAATGCATGTACGACTATCAGAGAAAGACTTGAACCATATGTCAAGGCCAACCCGGAAGGTACATGGGCCGAATGGGTAAGATAACTTTTTTCATGCACACACACGCTTCATGTACATGTATAAAGGCACACACACATGCGCAGTGAACAGCAATGGATCAGAATTAGTGCTCATTATTTGCATATAATCAATGCAGTACAATAATACATTATTAATACAAGAGGTGCTTGAATGTGATACACTTAATGTTGAGCAGATTCTCTCTAGAAAGCGTTGTGAACACTCTTTATATTACAGGTGGCAGCTGCTTACTTTGATAGAGTTAGTCTGTCTGTCACGGGATTTTACAAGTGAGTGTTTGTAAGAATTGGCGTTTTAAATTAACTCGATGTAATTGCAAATCAGGCACAATTAATGTATATATTGGAATCTTTGCACATTCTTCTTTTTTCTTTACCAAAACACAAATGTAATTTAATTATTAATGGTCCATTTGAACTGTAGTAAATACTAAGGTGTTTTCAGTTATTGGCCAAGTACACCGTTAAGACAATCGGAGAACAATTCATAATGTTTACAAGAGCGATGTTTAGTATTAGACATTTCCATATACAGTTATAATTGTAACATTTAAACGTATTATTGCATTAGGGTAGGACTTTTAAATGGACGGACTTACATTACTGTCATAGGAACAGGAACAGGAATAAAAGTCCGCTAGTAATTCATGTACAAGTCCTATCTACTATAATTATGAGCCAGGGACTAAATGCCAGTAGGACGACTTTTCCCAAGTAATGGTAGTCCTACGGTTCATGTGGGACTTGGATTTCTGTTACACCGAACTTTTTAGTTATTCATAACAAACGCAATTGTGATCAACAATGTTAGGTGGGGGATCAATTATATCTTTTTTCTCTGTCAAGGGTCCCTGGTGTAGAATATGACTGGGAAAAGAACGTGGGCACTCCCTTTAGTTACTTCACGTATGGAGCCGCTTGCACAGAGGTGGAGATAGATTGCCTCACTGGAGATCACGTGGTAAGATATACAATAGGACTGTTTAAAATGATTTATTAGTATCTGCTCTCTTTGCTTGTACTGACGTATGAAAGACAAGTGCATCGAACAACTGATTTGTTAGCAATCTAATTGTTTTAAAAAAGCGTGTCACAAAGGCAGCTGTATTGATTAAAAAATTCATTTTTCCTACAAGATTCTGCGAACGGATATCGTCATGGACCTTGGAAAAAGTTTGAATCCCGCACTTGATATTGGACAGATTGAAGGCGCCTTTATGCAGGTAAAAGCCCATTCACACTATATCTCTGGATAGTCAACGTGCATTCTAGAAATTCTGAGCGCGGCAGCGAGAAACAATATATTTTTTGCCTTTATTTATACTACATTTGTCATTAATTCTTTTTGGTATTCTGATTACGCCCTGCAGTGGAACCCTATCGTTTGTATATTTTTCTTCAATTTTATGCATTTCATTTCATTTGCAGGGGCGTGGTCTCTACACCTTAGAGCAGCTGAAGTACTCACCCGATGGTCGCCTGTTGAGTTGTGGACCAGGTGCATATAAAATACCGGGATATAGTGACATACCGCGAGAATTCCATGTTTCGTTACTGAAAGGGTCTTCCAACAGTCATCCCAGAGCAGTGTATTCTTCTAAGGTAATTTTTGCTTTGTTTTATTTTTGAAGAAAATGATTTGGACGAAAAAAATGTCACGATAACGGGGTGGGCAATTCTTTACAGGTACTGATATAGTGATGAATCAAAGTGCTAGGTTAGCTCAACCGTATAGAAGAGTGATGCAAAATGCTTTGTCGCACCTCACTTTATATATATATATATATATATATATATATATATATATAATTTTATTTATTTATTTATTTATTTTTTTCTTTTTTGATACGTCAGATGTCAGTTTAATTACACTTGAATTCGGCAATGTTTATTTTTAGGGAATCGGCGAACCACCCCTAGTTTTGGCGTTGTCCGTATTCTTTGCTATCAAAAATGCCATTGCCTCGGCCAGGGCGGACGCTGGCCTTGCTGGGAGATTCAAACTGACCAGTCCAGCTACGTCCGAGAAGATAAGAATGGCTTGCGAAGACCAGTTTACTCAAAAGGTATGTGTGCATTCGTGTGCGCGTTCATCTGGACTAGATCACACATATGATATGTATGCTTGTATTTGCGCTTTTGGTTTATATTTATCATCCTTCTTGCATAAAATAAAGGTGCAAATAAGCATAAAAAGCAACCCATTTTCTTTGTACATGGAAACTATTCTGCTTAATGGGAATGCTAAATTTAACTCGAGACCAACGTTACAAACTTAAAACTGTTCATATTATCATAGAACTAATTCACAATACCTGATTTTTAATTTCAGTTCCCCTCAGCAGAGCCAGGGGCATACAAGCCATGGTTTGTGGAGGTGTAATACACAACCAATGGTATTTAAATGGACGACGGGGTTTTTCATCCCCCCTGACACTACAAATGCATCAATTGGTCTATTCTAGGCATATTGACTTTTTAAAATAGCACTGAATGATATACACTTTATTCTGCACATTTGTGTAAAAGTAGAGGACCGTGTGATCCCGATGTGCGTCTATAATGTCCGCTTTCTCCCCCTGGGCCACTAGAGTGAGGAACGTAGAATTTTGAGGATAAATAATAGTAATAGGGTCATAGAATCCCTGGGGGTGGGGATGTACCTATGGATGGATTTGGTGAAGTGCGGACTATGCGATGACTGTCCATCGAGAACATATAGTTGCTGTAATTATTATTATTATTACTAATATTCTTGCTGCCGTTACTGTTGCTGTTATAAAAATAATTATGTTATAAAAATAATTATTGAATGACAGAAATCCGTTGTGAATGAATGTGCAACATAAGAATAAATAGCAAAAACGCCAGAAAAAATAATTTAAAGAATGTTTCTCGCTGCCTGAAAGTAAGCATTGAAACAATATAATCTTAGGAACTATATAATCTTAAAGTATCTTTGTAAATGCCCAATGGCAACTTTCTTCTCATGACTGTGAAAGCAACTGAGTTATATCCAGGAAAACGTTTCTAAAGGTGGCACAAGGAGCGCTATACCTTTATACAGCATATACTTTAAATTTCCTGGAATTTTCAACTCTTTCTGAGTCATATTTCTTCAATTACCAAGGCATGAAATGTAGCCTACCATATGCAAATCGTGCATAGAATTACAGGCCTGTAGCCGGCAATTTCAAAAGGGGGATTCTTTTCTGAAAAAGTGGACCTTTTACCATGAAACCTTCATGTACCTAGATAAAATTTTACCAAGAAGGGACCTTTTCCCAGCAAAAGGGGGGTTCTTTCGAACCCCCCGAACCCCCCTCCTTACGGACCTGGAATTAACAACTGATATCTAAGTTTCTACTTTTTGAGCCACTTTTAAAGGCTAACTGAGATAGAGATTGATCACTTTCACTCAGGACGTGATAACTATTTAGCTCTCGATATTTATAGATATTTATAGACAGTAATTTCTTAAAGGGAACGCTGTGGTGATAATGTGAAAATTGCTGAAATTTCCAAAATATTTCCTAAATGCTGTATACTGCACTGTATGCTGACTACCGACAATACGTTATTATACCTGTATTCAATAAGCCTGTCTATCGCATCATCACACGCCAAAATCGGTATGAGGTAAACGTTACCTGGAGCCCCCTTTCTAAGCTGCTTAACGTTCAAACACATCAACATCGATTTTTTTCTTTATTTTCATTACAGCTGTGAACGTTGAGTGGTATTGAAAATAACCTCATTGGATCAGCGCAGATCGTATCATAAACCGTGCCTTAGTCTAATAGAGCTGACGCGTTACTCGCCCTCCAGTTAGGCGATCTATTATTAACAAAGGGCATTATGTAAGAATTCGATTGTTCTTTTAGATACTGTCTTGATACTAAATGCTGTCGAAAAACCCACGAATCTATTGAAATAGTTTCGAATTGCAGGCGCAGTCGATATTTTGAGGTAAAATCCATTTTTGTATGATTTTTTGCATCGGTACACATTGTTTTTATGATTATGTTAAAGATATTTGTACATAGAAAATTATGATGAATCGATTAATAATAGCGTACTCATTTCAACTTGTGATTCCAACGAAATTAATTTTTTCCGAAAGACTAATTTCCTAGACATAGCGCAAGAAGCAGTTACAAAATTCCACCTACGTTCTTCCATCGCACTATCCAAGTTGCTAAATTAATTTCTAGTAAAGCTTTTATAAAAGTGCCTCACGGTCATTTCATATATAAGGGTAAAAAGAAATGTTTGTTTTTCATTATGATGATTGTTAACAGTGCTTGTAAAATCATTCTTGGGGATGATATAGCACTTTCAGAAGAACGAAATCGTGTACTTCCAATTCAACGTGAAGACAAAATAAATTCAAACAAATGTTCTTAGCTGAAGGGCTCAATCCAGTGACTTCACAATAGATTCCCAAACAACCGGCCTTATTTTCCAAGGGGAAATCAACCGTATTACCTGATATTCAATTCAACTCATTTTCGTGTACTACTATCATGACACCACAAGGTTACGTATCGAGACACTTATTACTATTAGGGTACAAGCTTACATTAACTTGCTACATTGTAGTTCTAAGTAAGGACATGTAACTGGCACGTGTCTGTCTGTCATAAGAACACTTTCTCACAATAACACAAATATGAGAGTCCTAAGAATGTTATCTGATCCTAAACATAGCTTGTTGTCATTAATATTTGGTGCCAATTATCGAATGCAACCTCTCCAAATTATGTTCATACAAAATATCGATCATGTAATAATGACAATACAGGAAGAGTCAAGGGAAACCGTGAAGACACAAACAACCTGCCTACTGTGGATCATATCCTGTTTGATCGTCTGGATAGAAGCTCCTTTATTCTTTCTAATGGAAATTTGAAAAAGAACCGATCCAGAGATGTTTCTTCTCCTTGTTCGGCTGCTTATTCAGTGGTGTCTATTCTGGGGACTCACGTGCGGTAAGAATATAATATTTTTACTTTTTTGGATATAAGACGGTCATTTTAACACATCATCAAAAAGGCAAATTTGAAGTCTGCAGTACTCTATCTTTAACTTCTCAGTGCACAAATACTTTAAAAGCGTATTATAAAAAACAAGAATGCGAAAGAAATTTAAAGATTGTTACGCATTCCTTTCGAAACTGGTTGGATGATAGAATATCTAAAATAATACTCAATTCATAATCTAACCAAAGAAACGAGATTTCCCTAAACAATAATTAAGACAAAAAAAAAAAAAAAAAAAAGAATTTTGGTCAGGTCTTTAAATAGAAAACATCGCCACCTATTCCCAACTATAGCGTATTTCTGATGGACGAATTTATTAAAATGTATTGTTGCATTTTAGTAATTAAATTAAAATAATTTTTAAAAAATTTGTCACTTTTTTGTTTTAAATATAATATTTACAGCCACAACGTCACAGGACACAGTCTCCATATGCACATGCACCATGTTGATTCACAGCGCACAATCCCATGCAACAACTCAGAGCATTTTTGACTCAATTTGGGAAAGTACAACATCACACTACACTGGGACTGTAACGACGTTTTATACACAATTCGCAACATCGCAACCGAGAGGAATTACTAGTGCTACTACAGACGTCAGTCCTGTTGAAACAACCATCATTAAAATGAGCACATCTCCCACAGTGGTAAATGCTATGACGGACCCAGTAACAGAAATCGACGGAGAAACAAACAGTGAAATCACAGCAGAGGTCCCTTCTGGTACGTCCAGTGGAGATAAAACTACTGGTTTATTGTTTGCAGCTGAAACCACAAGTGCTAGTATTGATGCAGAAACTACTGCTACAACCAATGCAGCCGGAACCACAAGTGCTACCTCTGAAGCTGCAACTAGAGGAACATCTATTGCACTGGACACCACTAGTACCAGTACAAGTACTAGTTTTGATGCAGAAACGGCTGGAACAAGAACTGCCGCTGAAACCACTGGTTCTACCACTGGAGCTACGACTGCTGGTGCATCCGTTGCATTGGACATTTCTAGTATTGGTCCTGAAACAACTGGTACTACCATTGCTTCCGAAACAACTAGCACTACCACTAGAACTACCACTATGGGGACATCCGTTGCATCAGACACCACTACTACTAGTATTGCTGCAGAAACTACTGGTACAGCCAGTGCAGCCTCAAGTACAACCACAAGAGCTGAAACTTCTGGTACACCCCTTACAGTAGACACCACTAGTACCAGTATTGCTACAGAAACTACTGGAACAACCACTGCAGCTGAAACCACAAGTCTTACCACAAGAGCTGAAACTACTGGTACATCGCATGAATTAGACACCACTAGTACGAGTTCTGATGCAGAAACCACTGGTTATGCTATTGCATCTGAAACAACAAGTTCTTCAAGAAAAACTGAAACTACTAGTACATCCCATGCAGTTGACAACGATAGTACTATTATGGATGCAGAAACAACTGGAACAACCACTGCGGCTGAAACCACAAGTCCTACCAGTGGAGCTGCAACTCCTGGTACATCCCATGCAAGATACACCGCTAGTACAAGTACTGATGCAGAAACAACCAAAACAATCACAGCAGCTGAAACCACAAGTACTACCACAAGAGCTGTAACCACTGGTACGTCCATTGCAGTAGACATCACTAGTACTACTATTGATGCAGAAATAATTGGAACAACCACTGCAGGTGAAACCACAAGTTCCACAAGTGGGGCTGCAACTTCTGGTACATCCCATGCAGTAGACCCAACAAGTATGAGTACTGATTCAGAAACAACGGGTACAACTGCTGCAGTTAAAACCACAAGTACTACCATAAAAACTCCAACATCTGGTACATCCTTAGCAGTGGACTCCAGTAGAACTACTGTTGATGCAGAAACAACTGGAACAACCAATGCAGCTGAAACCACAAGTGCTAACAATGGAGTTGCAACTTCTGGTACATCCAGTACAGTAGACAACACCAGTGCAAGTAATGACGCAAAAACAACTGGTACAACAACTGCAGCTGAAACCACAAGTACTACCACTAGAGCTGCAACTTCTGGTACATCCTTAGCAGTAGACACCACTGGTACGAGTACTGATGCAGAAACAACTGGTACAACAACTGCAGCTGAAACCACAAGTCCCACCAGTGGAGCTGTAACCTCTGGTACATCTCATGCAGTAGACACCACTAGTGCTACTATTGATGCAGAAACAACTGGTACAAGAACTGCAGCTGAAACCACAAGTCCCACCAGTGGAGCTGTAACTTCTGGTACATCCCATGCAGTAGGCACCACTAGTGCTGCTATTGATGCAGAAACAACTGGTACAACAAATGCAGCTGAAACCACAAGTCCTACCAGTGGATCTGCAACTTCTGGTACATCCTTAGCAGTAGACACCACTGGTACGAGTACTGATGCAGAAACAACTGGTACAACAAATGCAGCTGAAACCACAAGTCCTACCAGTGGATCTGCAACTTCTGGTACATCTCATGAAGTAGACACCGCTAAAGCGAGTACTGATGCAGAAACAACGGGTACAACAACTGCAGCTGAAACCACAAGTCCTACCAGTGGACCTGGAACTTCTGGTACATCCCATGCAGTAGACACCACTAGTACGAGTACTGATACAGAAACAACAGGTAGAACAACTGCAGGTGAAACCACAAGTCCTACCAGTGGAGCTGCAACTTCTGGTACATCCCATGCAGTAGACACCACTAGTACGGGTACTGATGCAGAAACAAGTGGTACAACAACTGCAGCTGAAACCACAAGTCCTACCAGTGGATCTGCAACTTCTGGTACATCCCATGAAATAGACACCACTAAAGCTAGTACTGATGCAGAAACAACGGGTACAACAACTGCAGCTGAAACCACAAGGACTACAAAAAGAGGTGAAACTACTGGCACATCCATTGAAGTAGATACCGCTAGTACAATTATGGATGCAGAAACAATTGGTACAACATCTGCAGCTGAAACCAAAAGTCCTACCAGTGGAGCTGGAACTTCTGGTACATCCCATGCAGAAGACACCACTAGTGCGAGCACTGATGCAGCAACAACTGGTACAACATCTGCAGCTGAAACCACAAGTCCTACCAGTGGATATGCAACTTCTGGTACATCCCATGAAATAGACACCACTAAAGCGAGTACTGATGCAGAAACAACGGGTACAACAGCTGCAGGTGAAACCACAAGGACTACAAAAAGAGGTGAAACTACTGGCACATCCATTGCAGTAGATACCGCTAGTACAATTATGGATGAAGAAACAACTGGTACTACAACTGCAGCTGAAACCACAAGTCCCACCAGTGGAGCTACAACTTCTGGTACATCCCAAGCAGTAGACACCACTAGTGCGAGTACTGATGCAGAAACAACTGGTGCAACAACTGCAGCTGAAACCACAAGTCCCACCAGTGGAGCTGCAACTTCTGGTACATCCCATGCAGTAGACACCACTAGTGCGGGTACTGATGCAGAAACAACTGGTACAACAACTGCAGCTGAAACCACAAGTCCTACCAGTGGATCTGCAACTTCTGGTACATCCCATGAAATAGACACCACTAAAGCGAGTACTGNCTGCAGCTGAAACCACAAGTCCTACCAGTGGACCTGGAACTTCTGGTACTTCCCATGCAGTAGACACCACTGGTACGAGTAATGATGCAGAAACAACAGGTAGAACAACTGCTGGTGAAACCACAAGTCCCACCAGTGGAACTGCAACTTCTGGTACATCCCATGAAGAAGACACCACTAAAGCGAGTACTGATGCAGAAACAATCGGTACAGCCACTGCAGCTGAAACCACAAGTCCTACCACAAGAGCTGAAACTACTGGTACATCCCATGAATTGGACACCACTAGTACGAGTTCTGATGCAGAAACAACTGGTTATGCTATTGCATCTGAAACAACAAGTTCTTCCAGAAAAACTGAAACTACTGGTACATTCATTGCAGTAAACACTGCTAGTACTGTTATGGATGCAGAAACAACTGGAACAACCACTGCAGCTGAAACCACAAGTACTACCAGTGGAGCTGCAACTTCTGGTAGATCCCATGCAGTAAACACCACTAGTGCGAGTACTGATGCAGAAACAATAGGTACAGCCACTGCGGCTGAAACTACAAGACCTACCACAAGAGCTGAAACTACTGGTACATCCCATGAATTAGACACCACTGCTGATGCAGAAACAACTAAAACAATCGCTGCAGCTGAAACCACAAGTACTACAAGTGGAGCTGAAACTACTGGTACGTCCATTGCAGTAGACATCACTAGCACTACTATTGATGCAGAAACAACTGAAACAACCATTGCGGCTGAAACCACAAGTCCCACCAGTGGACCTGGAACTTCTGGTACATCCCATGCAAGAGACACCACTAGTACGAGTACTGATGCAGAAAGAACTAGAACAACCACTGCAGCTGAAACCACAAGTACTACCACAAGAGCTGAAACTACTGGTACGTCCATTGCAGGAGACATCACTAGTACTACTATTGATGCAAAGACAACTGGAACAACCATTGCGTCTGATACCACAAGTCCAACCATTAGAGCCAGAACTTCTGGTACATCCGTTGCAGTGGACACCACTAGTACTAGTATTGACGCAGAAACTACTGGTGCAACCACTACAGCTGAAACCACAAGCCCTACCAATGGATTTGCAACTTCTGGTTCATCCAGCACAGTAGACACCACTAGCACTACTATTGATGCAGAAACAACAAGTGTAACCACTAGAGCTGAAACATCTGGTACGTCTGTTACAGTACACACCACAACCTCTAGTATTGATGAAGAAACAACTGATACAGCCAATGCAGCTGAAACCACTAGTATTAAAACTGGTACAACCGTTGCAGTAGACACCACTACTTCTAGTATTGACGCAGGAACAAGTGGTAAAACCACCACAGGCGAAACAACCAGCATTACCACCAGAGTTACTGCTACAACTCTTGCAGTAGATACCGCTAGTACTAGTATTGATGCTGAAGAAACCCGTGCAAGCAATGCAGCTGAAACCACTAGTGCAACTCCTAAAACTACGGGTGCATCCGTTGCATTTGATACCACTGGTGTTAGTAATGATGCAGAGACTAGTACTATGACAACTGCTGACACCACTAGCACTGCCATTGGAGCTAAAACTACTGGTACATCCTTTGCAGCAGACACTACTAGTACTAGTATTGATGTAGAATCAACTGGTACAGATGATGCAGGAACAACAAGAATAGTGTCTGATACAGAAACCACTGTCCGCGATTTGAAAATCACTAGTGCTTTAGATGATACACTGACAACAAGCACAGTCTATGGTGGAACAATTACAACAGCCCCAAGTCGTGTACCATCTAGCACAGTCACTGATACAGGCACTTCTAGCACAGTCTCTAATGTAGGGACCACTAGCACAGTATCTGGCACAGAAATAACAAGTACAGGCCTCAATGCAGGAACAACTAACACAGTCTCTGATTCAACAGCCACTACTGATTCAGCTACGTCTTCTGATACAAAAACAGCTATTTCCACAACCATTACAGATGCTGAAACTACTGGCCCCACCACCACTGCTTCCAGTACTACTGAACCAGCAACGACTGCTGATGCAGAAAACTCTTCTGTTCCCACAACATCTGATGTAGAAACCACTGCTCCAACTCACGCTGCTGTAACAGGCACTGCTTCTAGCGTCATAATTGATGCAGAAACTACTTCCCATACCACTGCTGCTGACATAAAAACCAGCACTGTTACCACAATTGCTGGAGAAACCACGAATGATAATGCAAAATCCAATGCACCAACCACCACAGACCATTTAGAAGCCATTTCTGCTACCACCACTATTGAAACATCTACCACTCTTGATGCAGAAGGAGCTGACTTGACCACCACAGCTGATGCATATACCACTACTCCTACCAATGTTAATGAAGGAACCACCACTCCTACCACTGGTACTGATGCAGAAACCATTCTTACTACCACCATGGTTGCTGCAGAAACTTCTACCCCTGCTGCTGATGCAGATACCATTTCTCTCACCACTAATGCGGATTCAGAAATCAGCACTGATACTACCATTGTTGTTGAAACTACCACTCTTGTCCCCACCGCTGATGTGGAAACAATTGTTCCAACCAGCACTGCTGCAGAAGGTACTACCTCTACCACTGATGGGGATGAAGACATTACTGCTCCTACTACCACTGCCACAGAAAATGCTTTTCTGTCTACCCCTGCTGATGCAAAAACCAGTACTTCCACCGTTGCTGGTGCAGAAACTAGCACTACTACCACCACCACCGCTGCTGTGGAAACCAATAGTCCCTACACCACTGCTGATGAACTTACCACCACCGGTCAGGCAGAAACCGCTTTACCTGCCACTACTGCTGATGCAGGGAACACTTCATCCATGACCACTGCTGATACAGAAAGGGCTGTTCCTACCACTACAGCTGATGCAGACACCACAAGTCCTAGCAACACTGTTGAAAAAAGAACAAATACTTCAACAACCATTGCTGCGGAATCCACTACAGCTACCCACACTGTTGCAGGAACCCCTTCTAAAACCACCACTACTAATACAGAAACCGTTTCCCCTACCAGCAATGTAGACACCACTGCAACTCCTGCAGAAACCGGAATTCCTACCACCACTTCTGGTTCTCAAACCACTTTTTCTACCACCACTGTTGATGCAGACACCACTACTACTCCAACCAACACCGCTGATGATGAAACCACTTCTTATACCGCCACTGGTGATGTAGAAACCACTACTATTGATGCATATTCTACTATTTCTACCACCAATACTTATGCAGAAACCACTTCTATCGCAACTGCTGATGCCGAAACCACTCCTCCTATAACCACTGCTGATGCCGAAGCCACTCCTCCTTTTACCACTGCTGATGCCGAAACCACTCCTCCTATTACCACTGCTGATGCCAAAACCACTCCTCCTATGACCACTGATGCAGAAGGGGTTACTACAAATCCAGGAGCAGAAACTGTCTCAAGCAGCAACGCAGGGGATTTCACTACAACTGCCACTCTTCCGCCTTCCATTCACTCTGGGACAGCAGGTCCTTCCAGCACAGAGGGGTTAGTGAATGGAGTAGTGACATTAAATCCTACACTTGAGTCAGAGAATCAGGTTAGAGAGACCACAGTAGGGGCCACCCGCACAGATGCTGGTACAACAGTAGGCACTACGCTTGCTGGAGGCTCATCAGCTTCTAGCGAAGAAATACTTACAAGTTCAGAAGACAGTTCAACGACGTCGACCACACCTGTTGCTTCCACGGGCTGTGCCTGTCAGACGCCGGAACCGACATCCGATACGGGTGATATCCGTCTGCTTTTCGTAGATGGTAGGTTAATCACAAATATCTTAATGTCCTTCCGATATGTCAAGTTAATGGAAGTCTATTTAGTTTTTAGNGTTTCTGCACAGAGCTGAGTGAAAAATGACAATGTACATTATATTCCACTGTGGAATAATTTGCTTAATTTTCAATTTTAGATATTCAAAAAAACTTTGAGGTTAGAAAATATATAACACTATATTCTATTCATTATATTCTTCAAGAATTAGATTGTTTGTCTAGAGCAAAACAAATCCTGAGGTATGTTCTATAAAAAATATACACACACACACACTGACAATTCTTCAGGTAAAAACTGTGTGGTAAGTGCCAGGAAAAGCAAGCTGCAGTTAGGATATGATTGCACAATGGTTTTCATTAAAATGTCAGAAAGACAGGAAGCTTGTTGACAGTGATGAAGGAAACACTCATACTAATAGAGCGTCAAGACGAAATTATTATAATAGACTTTTATAGCTGGATTTGCCCTTACTGACTCTATTGGATAATTGTAATGAAAATGGGCACTGCAAAATCTGAGAGCTAATTCACAACCCAAATATTACCACAAAATTACTAAGCCAGAGATAATGCAATAAGTGCATTAGAAATAAGCGGTAATAGCCAAGAAACAAAGACAACCTGGAACACTGGCATGGGAACATCAGCTGTCACATTTGCATTAACTTGTAACAGTCTAAACTTATCTGACACCAAAAAACAATGCATGGGCCGTGGCAATGTGGTGAAATATGAGAAAAAAATATCAATGCATCTTATGAGCAGTCTTTCCTTCCTGGATGATAACAGAACAAATAATAAACATTCTTGTAAGAAATTCTCAACACAACCTTAAGCTACAAATCACCTTTACGTGACATACATACACTACCATGAGTGAAATCAACAATGATGCATAAGGTTTTCAGTAGCAAGATGTTATGAGCAGCACTTTGTCATGTGACTCTCTGTCTTCATATGTCAAATAGTCCTCAATAATAGTGGTTTATGGTATGGCATTTATGCAGCTTCAACAAATGGACAGTGTGACAGAAGAAAAAAAGCTATTCATAGTAGTGATATCATGGCCAAATTTAATTTGAGAAAATTCAAAATTCCTTATTTAGATCAAGTATATAGTCACCTGACTGATTATTACACAATAATACTTACACATTCTTGTCTACAACGCTCTGGTCCAAAGAACTCATAACTGCAAGGGTTCAGACACTGTAAGAAAAAACGTAAATAATAATGAGAATTAATAGATTTTGACACCCCATCCATCCCCCATCCAGCTGTATATCCAAGACAGAAATAATGGAATGGTCACAAAATAAGCCAATCCAAGACTGGATAGTTTATAAGAGCATTGGTACCTGTATATAGGCAGGGGGGAATGGTGACTGAACTTCATTTTTCTGCACAACAGTGAATTTGAAAACGTAAAACGATAGTACTGGGCTGGTCTAATTCTCAGAAAAACCATTTGCATGACAGTTATCACAGAGTACCTGGGAATAGAAAAGTTTCAACCAAGATAGATCATATTTACCTGTTTACATTCATTCTCTTTGGCTACTAAGCATTTATACTGCCTATACATGTCGTAAAAATTATCTTCGTTATCTGCAATTCTCCCTCCATACTGAAAGTAAAAAATGGAAGCATTAAAAATGCCAATATTGCACACTTGAATCATTAAAAAATGGAAGCATTAAAAATGCCAATATTGCATGTTGCGTAAATCCAATTCTAGAAGCAAAAGCATTGTTTTCAAAACAAACTCATCCAAATTACTCATTCAACTAACTCCTGGTGCTTTAATTTGTAGAACTATTACCAAAAAGTGAATTGAAATGAAGTAAACATAAATGGGTTAAATTTCAATCACTACCCCTTTTAAAGTGGTTTATTATTATTATTTTTTTAAATTTATTTATTTATTTATTTATTTATTTATTTATTTATTTATTTATTTTTTTTATTTATTTATTTATTTATTTATTTATTTTATTTTATTTTTTTTTTGAGAACATCNAAAAACCATTTGCATGACAGTTATCACAGAGTACCTGGGAATAGAAAAGTTTCAACCAAGATAGATCATATTTACCTGTTTACATTCATTCTCTTTGGCTACTAAGCATTTATACTGCCTATACATGTCGTAAAAATTATCTTCGTTATCTGCAATTCTCCCTCCATACTGAAAGTAAAAAATGGAAGCATTAAAAATGCCAATATTGCATGATGCGTAAATCCAATTCTAGTAGCAAAAGCATTGTTTTCAAAACAAACTCATCCAAATTACTCATTCAACTAACTCCTGGTGCTTTAATTTGTAGAACTATTACCAAAAAGTGAATTGAAATGAAGTAAACATAAATGGGTTAAATTTCAATCACTACCCCTTTTAAAGTGGTTTATTATTATTTTTTTTTAAATTTATTTATTTATTTATTTATTTTTTATTTATTTATTTATTTATTTTTTTTTTTTGAGAACAACTTCCCCGCCGCTTCCGGAAGCATTTCGCCTTAACGTATCTGGGTTGTGCAGCATTTAGCATTCCTATTTACTTTTTTATATATTCACTATCTACCATGCACGCTCGTTAAAAATCAGAAATAAGAGTGCAAGAGACAGAACATTCAGGCTAGAAGTCGATGTTGTAAAGGCCAATTTCAAACTTGATGAGGTTCACTAATTAGCAATATTCGAAAGATAATTAAAAATAATTTGTTTTCATTTTAAAGGTCACCATTATGGTCATCAATAAGCTAAGAGCAGGAAGGCTTACCACAAAAAACAATGCATTACGTTACGGATGTTTAAATTAACCTCTGCCGAACATGAAAGTCAACAGAATGGCATGACCAAGACGTATACGAATTGTTAACACTTCCCTTTTACTTTCAAAAGTACACAGACGTTGGCCCTATATATTATCTCTAATTTTGCCTCTTGAAAACGTTCAACACGTGTAATCGCTATCAACAGTATCCAACTGGCGAGACCGATGAGAAATGTGTCGTACCCTTACACAGGCAATAACAATCGTTCATAGTCGTGGTCTTTCTGATGTCACGCAATATTCTGCTTGCGTTGGTTAATGTCATTATTGTAAAGTTCTGCCCTCATCAATAGACGCATTTTTCTAGGAACTACGTTGAATAGATTCCATGACCACAAAGTTAATAAAAAGGACGACTTATTTCTTGATGGCTATCAATTGTACATTTTAATCTCTTTGCTTTTTCAATAAATTACCCAAAAACGAGGGATAAAATATTTCATCACAACAGCTATCCAGCTATCAGAAAGGTTTTTATTTAAAGTTAAAATATATAAACCAAAACGTCTTATCAGAAACGGTGCACTGACAAAGGCACTCATCTAATTATAACCATCAAACCAGACAAGCTGTGATGAGATAAGACTTTATTTTTACAAGAGACCCACGGTCGAAGATCTATTGATATAAGACCAAAAACTCAACAAATATATGTCATCTATTATTCCTGAAAACTCATCATTATTCCAACAGTAACCTAAATCAAACTTCGGAACGATATGATTAAGTAAAACATCTAAACAAGAAACGTTCAAGAGAGTTCGGCTTCAAACAAATCTTTCCCTGGGTTACGTTTTTGTTTTAGAATATTACCGAATCCAATGAGGTGTCAAAATCTGGTTGAATAACTGTGATTCAGCGTTCTCTCGACGTGCATTTAGCAGTAATTCAAAGTTGGAATTCATTCAGATGACTTTGCTATTGTTTTAAGTATTATGCCTGCACTAGTTTACTAGTTCGTGTCTGGGCCAGTAATTTTTACTTCCTTGAACTTCGATTTAACACAATATCCAACGAAATTAGTTTGAGATTCAATTGTTTTGTTTTGAAAAAGAGAAATCGCTTTTGGTAAGTTACAGACTATGCAATTGCTACGTCTTAAGTCACTTCAAGTCACTTTTTTACCTGAAAGATACTTTGCTGTGAATGTACTAGCTTAAAATAGAAAGCTTTCCAAGTCTGTTTCTTATGGTGAAGCACAATATGTCATCAACTATATACTCGTTGAATACTACAGCTCAAAAAGCCATTTTTCGAATAATAAACTATGCAATGAACAGACCTAGTCACTTAATTTTTCAATCAATTGACAACTTACCTGCTGCAAGCAGTTTGCCTTGCACTGTGCCTTGATGACAGCGTCCCTGTATGCTTGCTGTGTTTCTGGCAAAACGCTAGACACCCCAGATGTAATTAGAAGCAGAATAGTTCCGAGGAACATTACTGTGTAACTGTTGCATCGCCCGTGCAACATCTTGAAGGTAACGAGGCGTCTCTATGTACGGTGACCAATATAAAACAAATAACGTCCAATGTTTGTGGTCCGATAAACTAACACACTCCAAGCTCAGTGTCCTCAAGTTAATCCCGTTATCTCCTCACTGCCGTTGTGCTCCCTAGGTATTCACCGCCGGTCATTTATACCACCTTTACCATAAGTGTGCTGATATCCAGGTATACGGTTCACAGTAACCGGGAGACAGGGCTTCATTGATTTCACGAATTCGCTCAGAACGGATATATATACGATGACGGTTCAACAACGTCACGATTTTTCTAATTTTTCTTTTCTAAATGCAGCGGTTGCTAATATTGCGTGATGGCTGTGTATTTGCTGATGTCGGAATTTAAAGAATATATTGGAGTAATGAGACCCATCCAACAGCACCAGGTCTTCGTCTGTATGAAATCTACCCTCGGCATAAAATTCACCCAAATCTGTTTCCTTCATTTTATTTATACCACGGGGAAAAGGTGGGGAGCTCTGATAAGTCGATTACTTAACAAAGGAAATGTGGTTATTACCAATCATTACTTTGCGGATAGTAAGGTAGAAGCCATTCACCATATCCTAATTATGAAGCACTTTTAGATAACTCACACCTTAATCAGAAACGTAATTGAGAAGAAGCAGTTCCGCTGATTGCTATCTGCACGGTTCAGTGATAACAATCAGGCTCCATCCCCGAAGTAATTCTTGTCAATACCCACTCAAGCAGACAAATAACTTGACAATTTTACTGTCTCAAACTAGGCTTGTTACATTAGAACAACAGCTCACATATAATTAAATATCTGTTGGAATTAAACCAAAATTTAGCAGATTTTCGATTTGCAGACACTTTTCGCGCTTAGGAAACAAATCTAAAATAAGGGGGTAGGGGAAAGCATTCAAAAAAAAAAAAAAAAGGAGGAGGGGTTAATGGGAGAGTGTGGGAGAAAGACAAAAGTACGTATTTGGAATTGGGCATCAGTCGACTAGTCTGGGCCTCGGCGCGCGACGTTATATTTGAACGAATGATTCAAGTGTGCATTTTGGCTTACACCCCTGCTTTCAGCCTGCTGTACGAAGGGTGTGTTTGATACCCCCCCCCCCCCCCGCATGCCTTCGATGGCGAAGAAAGGAAGAGAGGAGGGAAGGCTGAGGTGTACGTGTGTGTCTGTGTGTGTGTGTGTGGGGGGGGGGGGGGGGGGACCGACTTCTAAGCTGTACTTTTTTCCCGTTACAAATTAGCTGATGTGTAACGAGGTAATTTAGGGTACTGATAACATTGTATGGGTGATTACAAGAATGCATCACCAATAATGTTCAACCACAATGTCCAAAACCACATGAAAATGCGTTTTACCGAGATGTACGGTTCGTTTTTGTTACCTTTGAACTCCTAAAGGTTCCATCATTCTGTAGAAGAATGAATTGACATCGTTTCATGGTTATACATTCTTAATGATAAGAATACAGACCATAAGCGAAGACGAGTTTGGTAATGTTAATTCAATCAAGAAAATGCATTTTCCCGCATCAGTAGCTGAAATGGCATGTCAAATTCCCAAAACTGCATATTTATGTCTATGAAAATTAAAGCCCACATGATCAACCTTGGTTTTTTTCAAGAACTCGTAAAATAGGACATCACAAACTAAAGGCAGAACTCACGCACTATAGTAAAAAGGTCTAAGGTAAAATGTACTGCATTAGTTATACACTGGAATCTTTCAATACCAGATCTAGAGATAGGCTGTACAAAATTCTCGATAGACATTATAGAAATGTGCACCGAATCAAACAGAGAAATATATGTGAATATATAAAAAAGAATCAAAATGTGGACCTGGTGGAGCATACACTGTAATTACGAGAAATTTGTGAGCAAAAACTTCATGCAGCTTAGGTGCTTTCTCTTTCTTTTCCTCTTTTTTTTTATCATCAATGTGTTTTGTATTAACCACGCAGGTTTCTATATTTTTCTAATGGACTGAATAATCGATCTGATAAGTCAGTTTGATTTTTTTCAACTACAGACCTCTAATAGCCATTGTCATCTGCAGTCCTATCTGCTCCCTCTGATCGGTGTAAGAAATGATGCTCCGTGCAACAGTTGAACTAAACGAAGAGTCCGCATTCCAACAGCTTTACACGGAAAAGGATTAACGGGACGTAGGTGGGTCAAAATTTAGGACGAGCATACCTTTGCAAATCATTGGGAGCTGGGCCCTGTATTACTTGAAAGCTCGTGCGATATGTGTTGTTTTTGAAATGTTAATCATGGCCAGCAAATCAGAATCCTTTCCTTAAAATTAAAGCTAGATAACTAGATCTGGATAGACATTTGAAAGTTATTAACACAAAAATTAAAGACTAGTAATATTTACACATGTAGGACCCATCGACGTAACAACTGTTTGTTTCACGGTTCCTATGGTCAAGGTGGCAAAAATTACTTCCCAGGTCTAATTTAATTGAGTATAGAAAGAAGAAAAAGTGAATTAACAAGTGAAATCTTGTACTTAAAATGATCCCAATTAGATAAATCACCTGATTTTATACATTAAAGAGACCGCCAGACGGTCAAAGGGTTCTGCTCTGACCTTTAACATAAGAATTTGTACAGGTGCTTTTCACGCTCAATTAAGCTTAACATTGAAGGTGGTACTGAAGCCACTTTATAGCTTATTGTTTTGGACTTGATTGCCAAGTGATTTATCCCTTTCATGCTTTATCGACTCATACTATCTTGTTTTCCAGTCCCCGGGGTTAAATAAAAACGTGTGATGGGTCCCAAATACAGAGGCGCGTTCATACTGTTTACTCCACCATTCCGCCCTTTCTAGACGGGCTTCTTGAGAGGTCCTTTATACATAAAACGCTGATGTACCGGGTATCCATTCATACCTCTTATTAATTAATTAATTAATTATTTTATTAATTTATTTTTTATTGATTGATTTATTTTTATTTATTTATTTATTTATTTTTTTTTGGG